AGAGCACTGAAGTTCAGTACAAGTATACAGTCCATCTATCCATTCTCTTCTCTCCTTCGCCTGGCCTCAGCCACCTGTACCCAAACTCCCACCCATGTACCAAGTAAGCTCTTAGTTTCATTAATCCTCCCTTTTCGTTTCACTTACTGTGTTTATGCATCAGCCGTTCACTGGCCCTCGTCTCCCTATTGCCCATGAATCTCTGTCTGCTTGCTCCCTTGGTTGGATTTGTGTAAATAGATGTGTGACAATAAACTTTTTCACTGTGATTCGTGTGTGTCTGAGTGATCAGCTCCATGACACTGAGGCAGTAAAGACGTTTGAAAGCATAAATTCTTTAATCACAATTTTTCACAAAGCATTTTGTCTTTGGGTTTTTCTCCATTAGACATCAACCTTAAACGTAGCTGCTTGTGTGCTTATAACACACATGAGCAGCAGTTGCCTAATTGTCTACAAATAAGGAACGTCTTTTTCCCTGTTTGACTGATTAATTTGTTAACAGCTCAGATTTGTCTCACAGCTGATGATAGAAAATCGCACCCTGAGGGCCTATTAAGCTTTTTTTTACCCCCTCTGGTGGAAACTTGATTAAGATGTTGCCTAGAAACAGGCTCCTCAAAAAACGGCGCTTGCTGAACCAAGAGTTTGAATGGAAGTCCTGTTTAGCCTGTATGTGCTAAATGCTACATGTTGTGAGACGGAAATATCGAAGTGCTACTCTTCACTCAGCTAACTGCAAAAAAGATACATCATGCACAACTTATTTATATATAACACTTGCCTGGTTGTATTGTATGTACAAATACAACCTACAGTGCAAGTTATGATGAACATAAATGACCACCATATAATAAACCAGCAAACGCCTGCTGGCGCTCATCATCACACTTCCTGTGTTTTTTATTGCCTGCATGACTGTTTGGCATTCCCCGATGAGTATCAGTGTGAGATTTCTGGAAATATAGAGATATATGTAACAGTTTTTTTGTGTGTGTGTTTTTTCTGCACCCACTAATTAATTTCAAAGCAGTTTAATTTATCCGTAGGTATTTGTATAGCACATAGCTGCACATTATCATAAAAAATTGATTGCATACTTCATATAGAGCACCTGTTCAGCAAAAACACACTGAAAATAACTTACAAGTCTAAATGACGATGCAATCCTTTTAAAAAATCAAAAGTCCAATTAGAATGAGAGCTCTGACAACTCTAGAAAAACCTCGTTTAAAAAAAATCCCTGCGTAGAGCAGGGCCTTCTTACTACACATCAGTGATCAGGAACAAGAAACTCCGGGTTTCTCTTCAGCACTGTAGCCTGACAAAGAGTCAGAGCT